CAAAATTAAAGTAATGCACTAAACACAGAATTGCCATCACATCATCATGTGGTATTGTTTGCATTCACTAACATTTTAGATAAAGTAACTGTGTTCATTTTTAAATTGAACACCCATCCACTTCAAGCACTTACGTTTTTAGATTTTCTTATTGCATCACCCAAACAGATTTACTGAATGTAGATAATTACACTGAAGTATGACATCTGATTCACAAAACAAAAGAACAAGCTAGAGAAAGAAAGGAAAAAAAGTAAATTATAGGGAGAGGCACAGACAAGCAATACATTCAACTTACACTGCACTAAAAATGGGCACCGGGTGACCAAAAGACAAAAGGAAACTGGAGACCCACACATCCCCACTGACCGTGACTACCGTCACAGAGAGATCACCAAAAACTAACTAAATGTATGTTTAGCATTCAAGATATTGCTGTTAAAATGAAAAAGAATATTTAAAACAACTTTTTTCTTTATGAAGCTATCTTAATTGCAAATACAATTTCTTTATAATGTAAAAATGTTTCACTTAGCTGTGCTTACAAATCAGGCTGGATAGTTTTTCTGATGGCAACAGCCAGCACTTCAGACAAAAATGTTTTACACTTAGCTCTGATCAGGCTGGATAAGTGTTCTGACAGCAACAGCCGACACGTTGGACAGAACTGTCAGTGCTGCAGCAGTAAGCTGGTGTGTATATTTCACTGCTATTGTAGATATCTATACATTGGGCATATCTAGGATTCTATCTATTGAAGGAATATCAAATTGAGAGTCTCTTTCTGTGAGAATCACTGTGTGTCTCTCTCCAAACAAATTTTAATATATTCCTCATACTGAAGCATGCAGCTTCTGAAGAGTGTATCTAATGTCATAAATCTTTACCAAACCCTTCTTAATCAAACTCTCTACAACAGCCCCAAAAGTTCAATATTACAAATATATTATGTATAACGAATTATGTTGATACTCCAATAATTATCAAATGTCATCTGATTGGGCACCTAATGTGGATGTGTTGCAAGTGTCGCAAGCACATTAGGCCTTTCCCATAGCATATTATTGCCTCACTGCTTTCCTATGGGGTTTTCGATGATAATGGATGTCCTCATGCAGACCGTGAGGACGTTCAGGGTTGTTTCATGGAGTCAAACTTTGTGGAACTCCAGGAAGCGCCTCTAGTGGACAGCCAGTTCTAAAGATTGCAATGCTTTACATTGCAAGACTGAGGGGGAAAGGAACAAACCACTTAAATGAGACAAGATGAAGTGGTCTTAATGCCTATAGTATCCCTCAAACTCCTACTAATCCTGAGCAGCAGCAATGACTATAGAACACATTAGCCCTAATACATTCAACAACAAAAAATAAAAAAAGTTACTTGTGCACTATCCTAAAATCCCTATCCTAATCATAGAAACATAGAAACATAGAATGTGACGGCAGATAAGAACCATTCGGCCCATCTAGTCTGCCCAATTTTCTAAATACTTTCATTAGTCCCTTGTCTTATCTTATAGTTAGGATAGCCTTATGCCTATCCCACGCATGCTTAAACTCCTTTACTGTGTTAACCTCTACCACTTCAGCTGGAAGGCTATTCCATGCATCCACTACCCTCTCAGTAAAGTAATACTTCCTGATATTATTTTTAAACCTTTGTCCCTCTAATTTAAGACTATGTCCTCTTGTTGTGGTAGTTTTTCTTATTTTAAATATAGTCTCCTCCTTTACTGTGTTGATTCCCTTTATATATTTAAATGTTTCTATCATATCCCCCCTGTCTCGTCTTTCCTCCAAGCTATACATGTTAAGATCCTTTAACCTTTCCTGGTAAGTTTTATCCCGCAATCCATGAACCAGTTTAGTAGCCCTTCTCTGAACCCTCTCTAAGGTATCAATATCCTTCTGAAGATACGGTCTCCAGTACTGTGTACAATACTCCAAGTGAGGTCTCACCAGTGTTCTGTACAATGGCATGAGCACTTCCCTCTTTCTACTGCTAATACCTCTCCCTATACAACCAAGCATTCTGCTAGCATTTCCTGCTGCTCTATTACATTGTCTGCCTACCTTTAAGTCATCAGAAATAATCACCCCTAAATCCCTTTCCTCATATGTTGAGGTTAGGACTCTATCAAATATTCTGTACTCTGCCCTTGGGTTTTTACGTCCAAGATGCATTATCTTGCACTTATCCACATTAAATGTCAGTTGCCACAATTCTGACCATTTTTCTAGTTTACCTAAATCATTTGCCATTTGGCTTATCCCTCCTGGAACATCAACCCTGTTACATATCTTAGTATCATCAGCAAAAAGACATACCTTACCATCAAGACCTTCTGCAATATCACTAATAAAAATATTAAAGAGAATGGGTCCAAGTACAGATCCCTGAGGTACCCCACTGGTGACAAGTCCAAGCTTCGAATATATTCCATTAACTACAACCCTCTGTTGCCTGTCACTCAGCCACTGCCTTACCATTCAACAATATTGGAATCCAAACTTAAAGATTGCAGTTTATTGATAAGCCTTCTATGTGCAACAGTGTCAAAAGCCTTACTGAAATCTAGGTAAGCAATGTCTACTGCACCACCCTGATCTATAATTTTAGTTACCCAATCAAAAAAATCAATAAGATTAGTTTGGCATGATCTCCCTGAAGTAAACCCATGTTGTCTCTGATCTTGAAATCCATGTGTTTTTAGATGTTCATCAATCCTATCCTTTAATATGGTTTCCATCACTTTCCCCACTACTGAAGTAAGGCTTACTGGCCTATAGTTGCCCGACTCCTCCCTATTACCTTTCTTGTAAATGGGCACAACATTCGCTAACTTCCAATCTTCTGGGACTACTCCTGTTAACAATGATTGGTTAAATAAATCTGTTAATGGTTTTGCTAGTACACCACTAAGCTCTTTTAATAGCTTTGGGTGTATTCCATCAGGTCCCATTGACTTATTTGTCTTTACTTTTGACAGTTGAAATAGAACCTCTTCCTCTGTAAACTCACGTGTAATAAATGACTCATTTATCCTTTTTCTCAACTGAGGTCCCTTTCCTTCATTTTCATCTGTAAATACAGAACAAAAATATTCATTGAGGCAGTCAGCTAGACCTTTATCCTCTTCTACATACCTTCCTTCTTTTGTTTTTAATCTAACTAATCCTTGTTTTACTTTTCTTTTCTCATTTATGTATCTAAAAAATGTTTTATCCCCCTTTTTTACTGACTGTGCTATTTTCTCTTCTGTGTGTGATTTGGAAGCTCTTATAACTTGCTTAGCCTCTTTCTGCCTAATCTTATAGATCATTTTGTCTTCCTCACTCTGGGTTTTTTTATAATTCCTAAATGCTAACTTTTTGTTTTTAACTATTTTGGCCACATCTGCGGAGTACCACAGTGGTTTCTTGAATTTTTTGCTTTTACTGACAAGCCTAATACAATTTTCTGTTGCCTTCAATAGTGAAACTTTTAAATAATCCCATTTTTCTTGGACTCCATTTAAATTGCTCCAGTCTGATAATGACTCCTCTACCCATATTCTAATTTTAGAAAAGTCTGTTTTTCTAAAGTCTAAAACTTTTGTTTTTGTGTGGTGTGACTCAGTCACTGTTCTTATATTAAACCACACTGACTGATGATCACTGGATCCTAAACTTTCACCTACAGTAATATCTGATACCAAATCTCCATTTGTTAACACTAAATCTAGTATGGCCTCTTTACGAGTTGGCTCCTCAACAACTTGTTTTAGAGACAATCCCAGTAGTGAGTTTAGAATATGTGTGCTCCTGGCACAAGTAGCTAATTTTGTTTTCCAATTTACATCAGGAAGATTAAAGTCACCCATGATGATAACTTCCCCCTTCATTGTCATTTTAGCTATTTCCTCAACTAGTAGATTATCTAACTCTTCAATTTGTCCTGGGGCCTATAAATCACACCTACACGAGTTACTGTGTGATTACCAAATTCTAACGTAGCCCAAACGGACTCTATGTTTGCCTCACTAACTTTTATTAGGCTAGATTTTATGCTATCCTTCACATACAAGGCCACCCCTCCCCCTTTCTTGCCTTCCCTATCTTTCCTATATAAAGAGTACCCTGGTATTGCTATGTCCCAGTCATTTTTCTCATTGTACCATGTCTCAGTAACAGCGACTAAATCTACACTATCAGTTGCCATTATTGCCACAAGTTCATGGATCTTATTCCCTAAACTGCGAGCATTTGTAGACATGACTCTAAGCTTATCATTTTTTAACACACTTGCTACAGGCACCTTCTGTCCTTGTTTTGGGGGACAATTGGATTGATGTTTTATCACCCTTTTGCCCCCCCCTCCTAGTTTAAATACATCCTAGCAAAACCTCTGAACTGCTCACTGAGAACATTTGTTCCCTTTTGAGAAAGATGCAAACCATCTTTTTTGTACAGCTTATCTCCATTCCAAACAGAGCTACCATGAGAAATAAAGCCAAATCCTTGCTCCCGACACCATTCACCAAGCCACAAATTAAAGTCCCTAATACGCATCCGCCTGTCGTTCTGAGTGTTATGCACAGGCAGAACTTCAGAGAATGACAGTGTGGAAGCAACCTGCCGTATATCATTGGCAAAAACACTAAAAACTTCCTTAACCTCTGAAACCTCATTGCAAGCCAAGTCATTTGTCCCTAGATGGACAAGTACATCCAATTCCCCTTCCTGCTTTGCTTACTTAACAATATTACAGATACGTCTCCTCTCTCTGTGAGCAGTAGCTCCGGGAAGACACCTCACAAGACCACCATTGTCCATCTCCACACCTCTTATAATGGAATCCCCCAACAACAACTGCTTTCTATTAGGCCTCGCCATAGTCTCCAAGACGGTCTCCACAACACCACTAGTCTCAGTGCCTCTCTCCACAACACAACTAGCCTCAGTTCCTCTCTCCACAACACCACTAGCCTCAGTGCCTCTCTCCACAATACTATTAGCCTCAGTGCCTCTCTCCACAATACCACTAGCCTCAGTGCCTCTCTCCACAACACCACTAGCCTCAGTGCCTCTCTCCACAACACCATTACACTCTGAAAGTGCAGAAAATGAATTATGAAGAGCAACAGACTGTGCAAAATGCCTTTTATCCACAACTCTAAGTCTACCAGATCCTACAGTAATCCATCTGCCTTTCCTAGTTTGTCTCTGCGGCAGTGGCTTTGCAGCAGTTCCAGTCTGAGTTTGCTCACCAGATAATTTACAAATCTCAGACTTCAAAAATACAATCTCCTGCCGCAAGATAGAGAACTGTCTACAGATTAGACAACAACCAAACCTCCAAAAAGTGGAACGTGAAACAAATGCATAGCAATTGTTACACTGAACTAAGTCTGCCATTCCAATTAGGAGAATAATTTAAATCTAACAAATCTTAACTTTGTATTTATCCTCCTGAATACCTCAGATTACCTCCAGGTTATCTCCAGAATACCTCCAACTACACACTTAGAAACAGCACTCTCCAGAATTTCTCCAACTACACACTTAGAAACTGCACTCTCCAGAATATCTCCAACTACACACTTAGAAACAGCACTCTCCAGAATTTCTCCAACTACACACTTAGAAACAGCACTCTCCAGAATATCTCAAACTACACACTTAGAAACAGCACTCTCCAGAATATCTCAAACTACACACTTAGAAACAGCACTTAGAAGTAGCACCAAGCTATATTAGACAAGCTAATGACACCAAGCCTTATATAACTCCTAAAATCACCACCCACTAGGAATGTTTAACACCTGGGTAGGCCTCTGCTTATTTGCAAACAATAGCTAATTAACCAGCAATCAATAGCAAGTAACTAGCTTAATCAAATCAAATGCCTTATAATTACCAACAGGAATTCAAACCTTGTGCAATCAGTAACCTTTTCCTACAGATGAATCTTACCTGTAACAGTAGAAAAGAAAGCTCTTAGCACAACTCTTAGACAGTGGAAGCTTCTGTAAAACTCTCCAGAATATCTCCAACTAGACACTTAGAAACAGCACTTAGAAGTAACACCAAGCTATATCATATTTCATAATACTTTACTTTTTCTGAATTGGTCAATTATGTTAGAGATTTTGTAGTTTATTTACTAGGTTTTGTTGAGATGTGAATTATTGTTACCTTTCTATTCTTTGGTTACAGATCTCTTTATACTTTAGTTCTAACATAAGAGCTCTAAAACCGTTATGTTGGCTAACCTATATTCATTGTACAATTGTGTTCTCTAACTTGGGACTTTTGACTTGGGATGTAGATATAAACATCATTATTTCACTATATTCCTTATGCTCAGGTATGGACAGTAATTAATGAGATTATTGTTGCATTGCATTTGATGGAACCCCATGTTGCATGTAAGTAGCTATCATATATCTTCTCAACTTCTTAACAGGCATTAACAGGCAAATTTGGTTGCATATACGATAGCATATGTTTGGTCATCATTTTTTTCTTGGTAAAATGTAGTTTAGCATATCAGTGTATGGTTCAACTGTTTGACATTCAGTGTCTTGCACTATCAAGTATGCTTTTGCTTCCGTATTTAGTTTGTGTTTCTCTCCTTTAGTATATTTTGGTTATTGAGGGGTTTCAATAATCTCCCATTAGACATATACACTGCTCAAAAAAATAAAGGGAACACAAAAATAACACATCCTAGATCTGAATAAATGAAATATTCTTCTGAAATACTTTGTTCTTTACACAGCTGAATGTGCTGACAACAAAATCACACAAAAATTAAAAAATGGAAATCAAATTTGGTCTGGATTTGGAATCACACTCAAAATTAAAGTGGAAAAACACACTACAGGCTGATCCAACTTTGATGAAATGTCCTTAAAACAAGTCAAAATGAGGCTCAGTAGTGTGTGTGGCCTCCACGTGCCTGTATGACCTCCCTACAATGCCTGTGCTTGCTCCTGATGAGGTGACGGATGGTCTCCTGAGGGATCTCATCCCAGACCTGGACTAAAGCATCTGCCAACTCCTGGACAGTCTGTGGTGAATTGGATTCAGGTCTGGGGAATGGTCCATAGCATCAATGCCTTCATCTTGCAGGAACTGCTGATACACTCCAGCCACATGAGGTCTAGCATTGTCTTGCATTAGAAGGAACCCAGGGCCAACTGCACAAGCATAGGGTCTCACAAGGGGTTTGAGGATCTCATCTCAGTATCTAATGGCAGTCAGGCTACCTCAGGCAAGCACATGGAGGGCTGTGCAGCCCTCTATAGAAATGCCACCCCACGCCATTACTGACCCACTGCCAAACCGGTCATGCTGGAGGTTGTTGCAGGCAGCAGAACGTTGTCCACGGCGTCTCCAGACTCTGTCATGTCTATCACATGTGCTCAGTGTGAACCTGCTTCATCTATGAAGAGCACAGGGCGCCAGTTGCGAATTTGCCAATCTTGGTGTTCTCTGGCAAATGCCAAACGTCCTGCACAATGTTGGGCTGTAAGCACAACCCCCATCTGTGGACGTCAAGCCCTCATACCACCCTCATGGTGTCTGTTTCTGACCATTTGAGCAGACACATGCACATTTGTGGCCTGCTGGAGGTCAGTTTTCAGGGCTCTGGCAGTGCTCCTCCTGTTCCTCCTTGCACAAAGGCAGAGGTAGCGGTCCTGCTGCTGGGTTGTTGCCCTCCTACAGCCTCCTCCATGTCTCCTGATGTACTGGTCTCCTGGTAGCGCCTCCATGCTCTGGACACTACGCTGACAGACACAGCAAACCTTCTTGCCACAGCTTGCATTGATGTGCCATCCTGGATGAGCTGCACTACCTGAGCCACTTGTGTGGGTTGTAGACTCCATCTCATGCTACCACTAGAGTGAAAGCACCACCAGCATTCAAAAGTGACCAAAACATCAGCCAGGAAGCATAGGAACTGAGAAGTGGTCTGTGGTCACCACCTGCAGAACCACTCCTTTATTGGGAGTGTATTGCTAATTGCCTATAATTTCCACCTGTTGAAATTGATTGTCACTCAGTGTTGCTTCCTAAGTGGAGAGTTTGATTTCACAGAAGTGTGATTGACTTGGAGTTACATTGTGTTGTTTAAGTGTTCCCTTTATTTTTTTGAGCAGTGTATTATTTTCTGTTACAGTGTAATTGTATTGCACTGCTCTTTACTGTTTAACTGTTTAACTTTTGACTGCTTTTTTTTATCAATCTTTCTTTTATTGAGGCATAAAAGTGCAAGGATACAGAATGGAGAAAGGGAGATGATAAGAATGTGTACAAGTAGGGGTTAATACAGCTGAGCATATATCACCTTAGATAATCGTCTGCCTCTTTTTATATTAAGCAGATGGATCCATGGCATACACGTACCAACATAGTAATAACATAAAACAATAGAGTTGGTACCATGCTTGTTAACAACATGCTTAGTATGACAATGGTGTGCTACTTGTTAAAGCCTGTTAGAGTATTTAAACAGGTGTGTGTCTGTGTGCTATAGTAATATTAGGGAAATAATAAAGTAAAGCTGGTGTCCTTCCTGTTAACAACATGCTTATTGTGACTGCGATATGCCAGTTGCTGTAACTTGCTAGGACAGTTAAACAGTTGTGGAGTTGTGGGCTTAAGGACATGTAGCGAATTAGTTTAAACCCTGCAGGTTGCTGGATATGAGTGTGTTAGCTGTCAGTTTGAGAACATTGAGGTGTGCCCATGTACACATTCATGGCAATGCAGGTTAGGTAGGTTAAACGATTAAAACGTAGACAAAAGGAAAAAATTATATATATAAAAAAAGGGGTAAAGTCACCACGGTCGGGGTCATCCCCTGGCAGGGTTTGTCGGGCTTTGCCCTTTTGTTCTTGCGGGCCATTTGGCCCGTGGGGTTCTCAGGGTCGTCCCAGGGTAAATTTGCCCTGTAACCACGAATAAGCCTTGTCCTATTCACCATACTTATTTAAAGAATAAAAAGTTTCCAAACCAGTAACAGGCTTAGGACCCTGAGGGATTATTACTAAAACTGACTTTAAAATATAAAATATTTCCAACTCCGCTATTTTTGCTTACCTTTTGAAATGTAGTTTTTAATGCAGTATACCTATGTAATGAATAATTGTTGTTTCTATGTGCATACTAGAAAATACAAGTATGAACCTGTTTCCTTGTGTACTATTATCATATCCATGCAACTAATAGTATAGTAAATTTTGTACATTAAAAAGTACAGTGAAGAAACAAATATCATTGAATCTTCTTAAATGACTATATTCAATGTCATAAAACTATATTTATTATTTAATAGAAGATCACATGTCTTATTTCCGATGTCAAAAATAAAAAGTCAGAAACTTATTCACAATTTAAAAGCTTTTAGGAGCTTTCCAGGAATTACATATTTATAAGCTGTACAGTGTTACTATTAAATATAATTGCCTATTTTAATAGTATGAAAATACAAAGATTCAAATAGGTTTTATTGCTGATTAGAGCACAAAACTGTTATAGTAAATTTAGCAACTACAATAAAGAAGAAATTTGAGGTTGACTTAATTTTGTTACTTTTGGATCCACTTTTTGAAATACTATTAAATTAAGTGGTAATAGATGTGCTATCTTTCTAAATAACTGCATGCTTGTATGAATACTAATGATGTTTTCCTTTTCTTTTCATTTTTATTGTGGGTTATATTACTTTGTATTACTTCATATGTGAATTTGTTAATATGTATTTGTTTTATAGCTTTCAATTATAATAACTTGTTTTTAATATGGTTTATTAATATTTTAACATTTAGTATTTTATTGTGGAGGACAAATTAAAATATATATCTATGTAGCCAAAAAAGCTAAATTCAGGGAGCACTCCAGGTCTCAAATCCGTGGAAACAAGGTGTGTATTGTATTTCAAACAAATAAACTGTGCATATTCAAATCAACGTTTCGACCCCCTAAGGGTCTTTATCAAGATATATATATATATTGTGACAGAAATTGCCCTGGACTAACAGGGTTACAGATTTTGTGTGTGTGTGTTTTTTTTTTTTAAGTTCTTTATTTTTATTGTGCCATTAATAATATACATGCTTGATACACCACGACAGCTGTAACAAAAACAGGCAAAATATCTCAGTAGCATGGCATACGTAGAGACTGAACTTTTTTTATATTGGAATTACAGGCTGAATGAACAGTAGCGTGTTAATAGATGTCAGTAGG